GATTTTTCTTATTTTACACGTATCCGTTTCAAACGAGTTGGACGGATGCTTTATTCGTCGAACGGTACCGAAAGAAGAGTTGACGTATCGGAGTAACTGACGAAAATCCAAGAGAGAAAAAAAAGAAAAAAAAAGATGGTACCCTCATACTCAATCGATAAGATCGACCCGCGGGTCGTCCGTTACGGCTTCGAATAATTTCTTGAGGGTTTGCCAAACGATTAATGGCCTAATTGTATTCCTATCGTTAAAAGTAACGAGCCCGTCGTCGTCGTGCGCGACGATTTCAAACGAAACGAAAGTAATCGAGCAACAGTCGAACCGTATTACACGGGAGCGCATCGAACAAGCGTTATCGGGACGAACTTTCGCCAATTCCTAACTTCGTAGTCGACTTGTGTATTGTTCCTCTCATTTTAATATTTATTAATCTCGATCGTTACCTTTTGTAAGTTGATTTTCGTACCGGTTCTCGAGACTCGCGACGCAGGAAGGGGCGCGAACTTCACTTCGAGATCGACGGATTTACAGACCGCCACCGGTCCCCGCTGGGGGAAAAAGTGTTTCGCGTAACCGAACGTGGAGAACGTTATCGTTAATAGCAAAATGAAATAGAAACGAACGAGTCGTCTTCGCCTCCAGTCGTTGAAGAAATGTTCCGTTCGCATTCCAGTGAAAAGTATACTCGTTATTTTTCCCTCGTATTTTCTTCAATCAAGCATCCAGCTCTCTTCTATTCTATTTCTTCGATATCTGCGCTATTGATACAATTCGATTTCTCGTTTATTTCTCGTGTTTGGAACAGTGTCGTTTCGTTCGGCGGAGTCTCGAACACACTTTTACCCGTGGGGGGATGGGGTGGTATTTCGTTCGGTGTTTTGCGTTACACGTGGCGACTTAAGCTACCTTGGTTACGGCTGGAACGTGTTTCAGATTAGACTAGCGACGAACAAGTACGGAGGAAACGTGCGCGGGCCGCGAGCGTGCCGACGCGTTCCGAAGGGGACAGAATTTTTCCGAAACTGTCTGTCTGTTAACTCTAAACCGAGAGCATCGACGTGTGCGCCCCGCTCCTGGAAACCCGCCAGCGACGTTTCCCGGCCGTGAGAAAGGCCTAAAGAGCAAATCTTCGAAATTCGCTAGTTAGACGACGAGTGATCTTATTTCTAAAGTACCACGTGGCATCCCGATTTTATTATTTATTTATTTATGGCGTAATCCTCAGTGTGACGAACTGCGATCGAAAGAGAGAAAAACGTGGTGGAAAAAAAATATGTAAGAAGAATAACGTTAAGTTAAAAGGACAAGCGATGGTTATGGAAAATCTCGAGTCGTAACACAGAGAAAAAGAGAGAGAGAGAGAGAAAGAAAGAGAATATGAATGATCGAGCGAGTGAAAGGGGATGAGAGAGGAACGGCGTGAACTCCGGAATCATAGGATAAAGAGAACGCGTTCGAGCGTGCCTGCGCGCGTGCGTGTGCGAGAGAATGAGAATAAAAGAAAGAAGAGGGTGAAACGATACGACGGGAGCGTTAACTGGAGCAAAGTAGCGCACTCGTCATCGTTAATGACGCTTTCTCGTAACAGGGAAACAGTGAACCATGAAACATAATTAATGATGCTAAAAAAAAAATAATGTCGGAAAAGTAAAGGAAAAAAAAACGACAGCGAAAGGAGGACATCGGTCGACCAGGGGAGAGTTCTTTGGTCCTTTCCAAGATTACATCATAGATATTTTTTAACGATGAACAAGCCGATCGATTTACTACGATTCATTCTGTATCGGCGAATACCTCGGTAGGTGCTTATCGAGAAAACTGTCTGCGTTCTTTTGTTTCGAATCGAACACGTTTGAATGAACGACGATGAGAATGTGTACATTATCGGATCGAGCGTAATGTACTTTACAAGAGATTTTCATTTTGCCAATTAACGCGTTGAAAAGGTGATGACTCGAAGGAAAGGAGAACGCTCGAACCCCTGCGCTCCGCGTCCTCCGCGATCGATCTTCCTGTTTATCATTGTGAAATTTTAGAATATTGTTTTCTCGGAAGACATTCCTCTGTACATTGCTTCGATGTGTACCGTACACGTAGAACGGGTTTCGCGCGGTTCCAAGCGATCCAACGCGTTTTCGTGTCGTGTTCGATCGTCAACAGAAACGGAAATCACCGGACAGGTTGTTTCGGGCTAAATTCCAAGATTTAAACGGTCGGATCATGAGCTTGACCATCGCTGGATCTGGTTCCCTCCGAGTCCCTTCGAGCCACGACTTTTGCGTACGGGTCCGACACGAAACATGGGGGCGGAGGGGACAAAAAAAGGAAACGAAAAACGATCCGCCGAGATTTTCCGTTTGATCGACGGACGTCGCATCGCGTCATCGTAATCGAATTTCGGCTTCGTTTTCGGTCAAATTACGCTGAAGCTGCTGTCAACCGCAACGCGTGTCTTGCGACGAGATGGCCTGGCTGAGATTGGAGATACTTAATTCGATCAATCGCGACCACCGATTGATTATTGTATTCAACCAAAAAAAGAAACAAAAATAAAAAAAATTGACTCTTCATGTAACTAATCTGTCTCCTTTTCTCTTAGAAATTAGACACCCCACTTCATGGATGATCCCCTTCGATGAACATATGATCGCATTCTAATTATTTTCCTTTTATCCATTTAATTATTCATTTGTTTCGATTCTAATCTCATTTACTATTACAAACATTCTGTTGTGTACATTGACACGTTGAATGCACAATTCATAGAGAAAAATGCACAAAATGGAGAAATAATATTGAATTATTCCATTGCATCATTATCGCACGATCATCTAGCTGTGTCACCACATTAGCATCATTTATAATATAGAAATGTTTTCAAATAATCGTTTAATTCAGTGAACTATAGTAACTCGATTTGGTTGGGTCATCGGTGACCCCATGGCATTCAACGTAATCTATCTTTCGCTCATTCTAATCTTATTTACAAACATTCTGTTGCATTGCATACGTTATTTTATTCCATTCTACAGGTAAAACACTGCGCCCTCCGATATGGCGAATTAAAAGCAGCTTACGTAACCCGAAAGAATAACAAATCTGTTCGCGTGAAGCGTGAACCAGTCTCGTTTAATTGCCATTGATAAATAATTCGAGATGCTGTTGTCACGTTCGAAAACACCGATATTCGCGCCACAACACTCCGCCAGCGTATTTGTAAACGAACACGATGCACGGCCCACGTACGTGTGAGCCGCGCACGTGTGTACGTCTATGCATGCAACACATGGCTCCACTGTTTATGCACACACCTTAAGGACACGCGTGTATACGTGCAGGTTGCACGTTCGCCTCGGTGCGTGTGTACTCGTGGTGCTCGACATATACAGGATGTCCCATTAATCATCGCGCAACCAGTGGTTCCGGGCAGGGACGATTCTTGACGTGAAAATAAATCGAAAATCGGGAACGAAGGATCTCATGGGACAATTCCTTCCTCGGATAACTATCAACGATTTGATAGTTCACCGATAACGGTAAGTTACATCTGTAGAAAATCATTTTTAGATAATTAATACTAGATTTACACTTGGGAATTAGATTGAAAACTATAAAATTTGATATTTAATATTATACCTCATACAACGCATTTGAGAAATATTGAAATACAATAGCCTTTCAATGTACGTACTCTTCGAGTTCCACAAAATGTCTTTATCGGAAAATGTTGAAATACTTCTAGTGGAAAACTTTCTTATTAAGTATGAGATCCATGGAATAGGATAGTAATATAAATTATATTCCAAAGTTTGCAGTACGATTTTTTCCATAAAGCATAAACAGTCCCGTTCTAATACCATACGTTTTAGTACACCCTGTACATAGGCACGTAGGTGGGATGCATGGAGGGAGCGCGCATGCGCAAATCCAGCTGGCGCCTGGGCCGGCTGAATAGTCGATGCTGGAAGCTCGTAGTGCGAGTGTCTGTGTTTCTTCGTCCTTTGCGTCTTGTGGTCGTCGTGAATTTATTTGCGAATTATACACACGTATATAGAGACACGGTCTATAGAATCAAAGTGAAGAGGTTCTCGTTTACGTGCGATCGTCGTGAAACAGGTGGACGTCGCCCGAGGTCGCTCGCCTGGCTGCGTGAAACGAGGTTAGTTGACTTCGAATCGAATTTCGGGCAACACGTCGTTGTCCTGCGAGGGGAACGACACCGTTGCCCTTTACGTTCGCCGAAAGAGAGAGGGAGAGAGTGTGCGTGAGAGAGAGAGAGAGAGAGAGAGAGAGAGAGAAAGAGAGAGAAAAAAAAGCGGTCGTCGTGTGTGTCTTTCCGTGCATCGCAAGTGGCGGCCGCATGTGACAGGCCACACCGTGGAAAAAATGAGGAGCGATCCAAGGATCGAATTCGATCCTTCGTTTCTCGCGTGAACCACCCGACCGGCACACATCCGGACGAAAATAGTATCGCGTGGTTCGTACAGACTCGTCCCTCGAAAATCTAACAGCGTGTCTAACGTGTGTTCTATCGATAACCGAGGCAACTGTCTCCCGAGGAAACCAGCGATCGGGTATCGATACGAACGCGCGTTCGAACGTTGATCGATCAATCGATCGAACCGTCTCTCGCGATTCGATAAACAGTGAATTCAACTATATCGCGTGTGTATGGCACTATGTCCGTTCGAACGTGTGTAACCGTCGAATCGAAGATGATCGATGGCATCGATATCGAAGTAATCGTAATCGTATGTCGTTATTGTTGTTTATTTTATTACGTTTGAATGGATGAAGGTACTTTTTTTATAATGAAGTTTCTCATTAGAAATGTTTGATACTTTTTGACAAGACAAGACGATATTCTTTGACATCAGAAGTACATTGAGGATCAAAGATATTTTATTCGGAGATTCCACGTATCGAGGCATTACGAAGTTCGATATTAAATATCGGATTTGATAGTTTTACTGCGTCGCATCAAGTGACAGAGTCACCTCCCGAGTGCAAAGGGTTAGCACTCGAAAGTTCATTACAAATATTCAACATTTCTCAGCGCAATATAAATGACATTTGAACTAAGCTACTAAGAAATAAATTAATAATCAAAGCTATTTCGTGCCAATATGTCACGTTCGATATTACATGAAACTTAACATTACACATTTTACGATTTCACCGTATCGAATCAAGCGACTGAGAGAGTCACCTCCCGAGTGCAAAGGTTCAAGATAATGGGTCACCCTCTATTTGTCCATGTTTTTTTCTCTCAAATCCAATAGAGACAACCGACAGTGTCAGTTGGCAATCGTAAGCGACATAATTATTTACACGAAGTCCCCGAGGATTACAGAGTCGAGGAATATACAGACACGAACCATGGTCGAAGGTTTAACATACGCGTAACGGAAAATTCGATTAATCGCGGCGAGTACCGACGAACGTGGACGCGAGCGCGGTGGGTTGGCTCGAACAGAGGGAACATTACGGTAACGTAATACGGCCGCTAATTAATCGCGTTCGACGGGGATTCAAAGTAAACGACATTGACCGAGAAATGGGAAAGCGATCGTCGCGTAGAAATTTTCTACCGCCGCCGCGCAGTATCGAGTGTTGACTCGGCGCGTCGATACGTGTCAAACGAGCCTTTCCTCCTGTGTAATTACCAGACAGCGGTTGATCATGCAATTTACAGCGTACACAGACAGACGATTACACGGGGCCGACCGGTGCAATATACAGTTTAATAAAGTTTAACGAGCTTTTCATCTCATTTGGGAACCGGCGGACCTTTTGATCGGTTGACTAGCAGGTTTCTCGGCCGCGAGCATCGATACAAATATAACTGAAGGTGAATAGAAATATTTTTGTCACGATACACCCCGCGACGAGTGCGAGCTCGATCTAGTTCGCACCGTAACGCGTTCAGATGAATTAACACGCTGAATGCTGCGTGGGTCACCGGTGACCCCAAACTAAATCGAGATACTATAGTTGACTCGATTAAATGATTACTTGAAAACATTTCTATATTATAAATAATGCTTAGTGCAATTTAATCGGATGATTTAATATTATAGTTTTTCATTTTGTGTTTTGTTCTATGAAATCGTGCGACATTCAACTAACTCCTTGTCTTAGAATTACGTTTCAGACTCGTAGCGAAGATTTTAATGAGAATTTAACAAGGACATTCGATTCTTTTGAATTCGAATGAAATATTCTTCCGTTATCAATTATACTTTGGAGTAAAGATTGATATACAATATGCTTATCATTTGATTCTTTTTCTTAAATTATTAATGACGAAGCAGTCGCGTCGCAGTTGAGAAATAAATCGTAAATCTAAATATTCCTTTTCTCTCTTTCTCGGTGAACCTATAGTATCTGAGACGCCATTGCCAACGAAATCACTCGGCCGCGAGGTAACGAGGACGTCCGAAAAATTGATATTCCCAGAAATGTCCGCCGCCCGGTAATTACAGCGAAATGTGTCCGAGCGTGTGATCGCTCGAAATATAACCATACGGTTACTTTCTCTTTGTGCCGTAGTAATTCGATATTTAGACGTTTTGTTTCGCGAATCGAGACGAAACCGCGGTTCCCGACAGCATGCTCTATGGAGAACGTGTTTCGTCGAGTGCACGGGGTGTTCAGGAAGAGAAAAAACCTTGCCACATTTCTACGATACATGGGACACATTTCAATAAAGTCCATTGAAGCTTTCGCGATTAGCGTATCGTGTCCCATGTACCACGTAAAAATAGCAACATTTTGTTCAATACTCTGTACACTACGTGGCAGTTCGTCCACCGAGAAAAGAAACACGTTCTCAACGTCTCACTGACGACGAAGCGCGCGCGCCTCGTTCAACCGGCCACATTCTTATCGGAAAGTATTCCGATAAGGACTGTTGACAAAGTCCGTCGATTTTTCACAGAGAACCGCGTGCCACGGCTGCAACTGGCAACAAGCTGTTGTTGCAACGGTAGCTACCGAGATACGTGAGGTACTCCGATTTTCAACCTGAGATTTCTCTGAACTTGCACGAGACCTAAGTAGCTTATACGTCGCATGTTCGAACGCGCGTGAGGGTCCTCACGAATTCTCTGTCTCAGTGTTCGAGCGAGACATCGTCCGCACACGTGCACGCGCGCCGTTAATTGCCGGCGTCTTATTGCTCGCGGTATCTCCTCGGGATCGATGCTCTAACGAACTTGTATTTTCCTGGTTTGCAGCTCCCGCCCCCGAATAATCGAATTCCTCCCAGCGGACCGAAGAAAGACGCCCGCCACGAATAGCAGACCAAGGGAGAAGGCTGAGGGGATCGGACGGACTCGTCTCGCCCCTCTCGCAGCCCTCCCTCGATCGACCTCGACCGAACACCGCAAACACCACCGAACAGAGATACTCCGCGTCGCTTCGTCGACGGATCAGCCCGTCCACGTTGTCCTCGCCGACGCAAGCAACGATCCACGAGCGAAATCAACGTCCCTGGAGACTGGTCTTGGCGATCGGAGCGGAACTGTTTCCCGTTCGTCGTCATCGCTTGCTCCCGATCCGCACAATGGGGCGAGGTTGCTTGGCTAGCGGTCGCGATCTGGCGAACCGGTAAACCCGCGGTCCCAGGCTGCCCCTGGACGGCGTCCCCGTGATCGAGAGGATCGAGGCAACGGCGGCCGGTGAACGAATGTGCAGACCCGCGGAACCGGAGGATGCCCGGCTGGCTGCGTTGGACATGGGATAGATGATAGATCGCGAATAATGGGGTGGTAGAGCCAGGCGTGGAAGCGCAAAAATGGATTGGGTGCCTCGGCTCAGGTAGCCAGGGACGACCAAGTCGCACGGCCGCCGGGGCGAAACGAGCCCCGATAAAACGATCTTGTTTCTCCATTTTCTTGCTTCCACCGGTCAGTTTCGCGGAACCTCCGAGGACTGTACCGTGGTAATCGTTCCCTCCGCCTGTTACGCGCGGAAAGACTGACAGACACGGATTCGTTCCACGGGTGTTCGGCTCGCGCGTGATCCTCGCCGACCGGCGAAACGGTCGGATCGCTGGCCGAGAGAGAAAGACTGACTCGCCACCGGCTACATATCGTGTTCTTTGGATCCTGCCTCTCCTCCTCTCTTTCTCCCTCTATCACGCTTCACCCTCGTGCCCGCACATATCTTTCGTCAGCCCGCGTATCGATTCCTAGCGGCTACCATCTTCGAGGAATCCCCGGAGTGGATGTACCTACCCCGAGAACCTCCGTTTCCGATTGTTGCGCGCGTAGAAACGAGAGTATACGTGCACGCATACTCGCATGTATACGTATATGTAACGTGTATCTTATATTTATGTGTTTGTATGTACGCACCGAGTAATCGGGATAATTCCGCCGCCTAATCGGCGCGAATCGTGCACGTCGAGATCACCGGCTTCCGGAAAAGGAGCAGCGTCTGCGGAGGGTTTAACGGACACTTGCCGACGGGATACAACCGAGTTTCTCGCGGACGAACCGATTTTCGCGCGCGGACACAGACGGACCGAGAGATCGATCGGGACCAGTGAGAAGTGAAGTCAGTGCGACCGCAACAGAGCAGGATGGGTTGTGGTCAGAGCAAAATCGGCAACATCTATCCGAAGAACAAGAAGAACAAGAACAACAGCGGCAAGAAGAACGGCGAATCCGTGGGTGAGTGGCTTTTATTCGTCGATCGGAGCTCCGAGAACCGTAATGGCCGTGTGTTCGAATCGTTGAAGCTTGAAACGAACCGTTTGCGCCTGAGAGCTGACTCTCAGGTTCCATATATAACGTTAAGCTTTGTACAGTGTCCAATTAAAATTAGTGCTTCAATGTAGCGAAGTTACGGGTTAGAGTCCGATTCAATTATAATATTCCGCGTTACGCCGCTACTGTTCTCGGCGCAAGTAAATGTTAACGCGTTTACGATGCGCGCGTCTCGTGTTCGCAACGCTTGCTCAATTCCTGTCTCGTTGTTTGTAAACTGTATCGAAACGTGGCTCGGAATCTTAGCTCGTAAACACGTACAGCAGCGTGTCTTCGCGCCGGTTAGCGGACGCGGCGAACACCGGCATTGTCGGCCGTAATTAATCGCGAGCCGAGCCGGTATAATTGTCGACCCGGTGATCGTAATTAAACAGACGCGTTTCAATACGAGCCACCGACACCCGCAGTCTCCTCGACTGCTCTCCGTTGGGGGCCGGTTAAACTGAATTTCCTCGATCATTACGCTCAACTCTGAAATTTGTCACAATGCCGTCGCAAAGACAGAATTACGATGGAAACCGATTTTTCCTATTGGACGCTATAAAAACCACTGCCCCGTGAATATCCGCTGAATATTCTGCAAATTCCTCGCGTCCCGTGCAACTCTTTGAGATTTCCCAGAAGCGCGCAAAAAACCGCAGCATCGCTGTTTTCCCTTTAAAGGTCAATCAGAGATTATCGCGGAACGCCAGCGAAATTCTCGGAGAACGGATTAAATTGTTCTCCCGTGCCGCGTAAAAAGCAACGAGCGGGCTTCTAACGATGTCACTTCTCGGTATCATAATTCGAGGAATTTTAATCCCTTCGCTGCATCCGATATAAAGTTCTTGGAAGCGAGGGTCACCGTAGACCCGGGCATCGGCGGGGATCGCTTAAGAAAACTCGTCTCCATTTCCGTTGCGAGGCGATCTTACGCGGCCGTCCCGTAACAGATGGAACAGATACGCACCGCCGGAACGGGCGTAACTTTTAATTCCCCCTCATTACCGTCGAACGGAAGGAAACTCGTTACCGATATTCTGTTACCGAGTCCTCGATCCGGAGTTACGATCCTTAACGCGTCGAGATTACAGGGACGATCGCCGTCCGGTGCGCGAGGAGTCGGATTTTCGCGTAGCCGCCGCGCGATCGGGTTCCCCTCGCGTTCAATTTGCGGCGCGTCGCGCGTCAACGGTGTCCGACGTTTTCGCGTACGCGCGTACACAGCTTATATATAACTTCTAACGACGGTAGCACCGGTTGACTCACGCGCCAGATTAGAAGAAAGGTGTATCTATTTTTCGAAACGGCACTCGACGTTATCCGATCATTCCCGTTCATTTTTCCCCGCGACACGTGTCCGCGATAATCCGGATAAAGCGGAGACCGCGCGGAACTCATTAGCGGACAACGGATTATATGCGTTTATGACATACACGGGTGCATGGAGTACGAAGCGGAGAGACGTTCCCAAGGATTTAGCCAACCGTGTGTTCGACGAGTCTATCCGACATCTCGGAACCCGAGATAATATCAGCTTCCTCGACGATTGATTGTTTCAAAGAATCGTGTAGTCCTTTCCCATTTCTCGTTGATTCGTCAAAGTCGATTTCATTACTCGACGAAAGGTCTTTGAAGCTAAACACCAGAGGTAACTGGCCAAGAGAATTCAGTTTCCGATTAACCATCGCCTTCCGAATGACTTCGGAAAGTGTTTATTCCGCATAAAGATTCGCCGTCGACTCGTTAGTCATCCGATGACCTAACAATGCCTGATTCACCGGTAATCGTTCGCGAATCTACTCCCGTTCCCGCGAATGTTGGCCGCGATCGAGTCGCGCGGCCGAGGAAACCGATTTATCGTGCATCGCGGGTAGCAGCCTTCGTCGAATTCGTTATCGAAACGATTTAATGCCGTAATCGTGAAATGTCGATGGAAAAGTGAGGACACCGGCGCGGGAAGGGGCACAAGGTGCGTGCGTGCGTGCGTGCGTGCACACGTACACGTACGCACGCGTGTCCCCGCTGCCTGCGATCGATTTCCTTGGTCAGCGTATGTAGTACAGTAGTGCCTCGATTGACGCACGAGATATGATCTCAGGAGACGAAGGGTTAAACGAAGTCATCGTGGCGCATAGCGCACACGCCACTATCAGTAAAGAAGTTTTCCTTTAGCGTCAACTTACCTTTATATTAATAGCCAATCCATACACTTCACCCTTTGCACTCGAAGCTTTACCTCGCACATGCTACCAGTAACTCGAAGCAATATCAATAGAAAAACATTGACAAAAGTGCGTATAAAAGGGAAGTCACAGCTATTAGTTTCCTTATTAACCCTTTGCGGACGAAGGTGCTTTGAAATCTACGAAGTCTTCAACAGTTAAATTAAATATCAATTAATTAATAGGAAAGAAGGAAACTACGAGCTGATCTCTTGCTGTCAGAGTAATTAAATCATTTCTCCGCGACTTAGTCTTCCGAATATGAACACTTCACCTCTCCGAGCCGACGTTCGTCCGCAAAGGGTTAATTATAGACACCGATGTTACAGTATGTTCAATGATAAACCTTTACAGTCTACAACAAGTCCTAAATAGAACCTTCGGGTGCGAAGCTTCGATTCGTAACGATTCGAGCGGTGAAAGACGTCGCCGCTCGCGAACCTGTCGAGAACGTCCATCTTCGAAGGGATAATCAGGTTAGCGTTGAACGGGCTCTCACTGTGCACCGTTCACAGGTGGACCAGGCTGCTCTTTGAGCCGGGTCGCGCGGAACAGGGAGAGCAGGCAACCTTTCGAACGACAAATTGACATTCAGGAACCTGCTGTTTCATCCCTCGCTCGGCCGATTCTCGTCGGTTCACGGAGGGCGGACTGATAAGCTGAATCGCGCCACGTCCGATGCGTTTATTCCTGGCATACTTACTCGCGTGCACGGTTTAAAAAAGAAAAGTCCGATCGGTCGCCGGCTCGTGACCCGCGACCGTGTCGACCGATGGAGACGAGACGGGACGAGATGAGACGGTTCGACGGTTTTCGTGGAAATCCACGGACAACGCAACGTCTATTTCGGTCGGTGTTTGTCGGCCTGATTCCACCGGGGAATAAATTATCAGCGGCGATTAAGCGCTGATAGATTTTCTATTCGGCGGAATCACGCGACCCAGATTCGCCGGCGCTCCGAGGGACCTTGCAGCCGCGCGTTTTTCACTCGAAGCCGTGTCGTTGCCTCGGACGAGTCGACGGATTTCCGAATTACGGGACAACTTCGTCGTTTTAACCCTTTGCACTCGAAAGTTTTACAATGGAAATATTCAGCACTTTTTGACGAGATATAGGTGATATCGTTTGAAACTAATTTAACGATAATTCGTAGATAAATTAAGCAACGAAGGTGCTTCATTTCAATATTTCACGTAACAATGCGAAGTTTAATTTGGAATATTAAATATTCAACTTTATAGTTGTATCGAATCAAGTGGTCTCTTGCACTCGACGGTATCAGTCACGAGTGCTCATAACTCGTCGATGGAACGTCGATAATCTTACAACGAATCATTTCCCGATCGCCAGAGGAATTCTTTTCGCGATAGACCAACCGAACTATGAATCCGTTGAAATCCCGATAGATTCGCCAGCGGAGTTTCTATAAAAAGAACTTAGGGAAAGCCAATCGGAGTGCTCTGTAGTTCCAGCGTTAAACCCGCGGAAAGCCGAAAGCTTGCTCCAATAGGAGCTTTCGAATTGATCGTTTCCTCCCGGCGAACGATACCGTCCTATCTGTTTGCAAATAAAAGAAGAAGAAAAAAGAGCGAAAAGAAAGCAAACAATCGACAACACCCCGCGCGCCTCGGAATCGCACGTCGCCTCGCGGTTTGTTGTTTACTGGCTTCGACGTCCGCGAGCTAAATATACCGCGCGATAATTCCGATATTTATATCGTTACGATGGCTTCCCTCGCGCGGCGCGGCGCCTCGACACCCTGTCGCGCGTCTAACTCGTGCGCTCATCGTGATTACGCATCCTTAATTATCTAGCCGCGACTATCCACTTAAACGGTAATAACAGCCTTGTCGCGTCACGCGCGGCGATGAATGAGGCAAAATTTAGCATTCTTGAGCGTCTCGACGAGACCGGAAACTGGAACGCTAAAAAAAGCTGAGACAAACTGATAAACAAGCAAGCTTAACACGGTGAATGCCATGGGGTCACCGATGACCCAACCGAATGGAATTTCTATAGTCCACTCAACTAAACGATGATTATTTGAAAACCTTTCTATATTATCAATAATGCTATCTATTATTATTTGCAATAACAATGCAATTCAAACGATTTAACCCTTTGCACTCGGCAGTTTTTCACTAGAAATATTCAACATTCCTCGACAATATTTTCCGAAGCCAACTCGAAGAGAAATTAGGTATATCGAGGAACAAAATGTATGAAATATTTCACAGTCGACGCATTATGCAAAGTTCAACATTAAATATCAAATTTCACAGTTTCACTGCATCGATACATTCTTTCGATGTCGTGCGTTTCGCTCTACGAAATCAGCATTCAACGCTAACAGCTGAACCGGCGTCTTATCGCACGTTGCTCGCCAATGTCACGATTAGGGTACCGCGAATATAATCTTGTTATTCGCTGAATTATCGGCTCGCGATACGATAATACAATATACAACAAGAGCCTTGCGTATATACGACTCGAGATGCACTCGGATCGCACAAGTCCAACGGCTTCGTGCCGCGAACGATATCGCGCCCGTAATTTCCTCGAGGCGTCGAATTTCCCGCGCGCGACGAGAGCGTAGCACACGGGGTTTGAAATTTCCCAACGGTCGCGCGGAAAGCTGCGCGCGCAGCGGGTGGCTGGTTTCCATGGTGGCGCGGCGTTGCCATTTCCCGCGCGTTCCGC